TAATATTTTCCTGAAGAATGCAATGATTTATTGAACATTTTGCTGAAGATTTGTCATGTTTTATGTTACATGTTGCTGAAGATATTCAATGATTTATTAAACATTTTGCAGAAGAAATGCAATGATTTATTAAACGTTTTGCTGAAGAAATGCAAGGATTTATTAAACATTTTGCTGAAGATATTAAATGATTTATTAAACATTTTGCTGAAGAAATGCAAGGATTTATTAAACATTTTGCTGAAGATATTAAATGATTTATTAAACATTTTGCTGAAAAAATGCAAGGATTTATGAAATATTTTCTTGAAGATGTTCAATGATTTATTAAACATTTTGCGAAAGAAATGCAATGACTTATCAAACGTTTTGCTGAAGAAATGCAAGGATTTATTAAACATTTTGCTGAAGATATTAAATGATTTATTAAACATTTTGCGGAAGATATCAAATGATTTATTAAATATTTTGCAGGATATTTTATTGAACATATTGCTTAATACATGCAATGATTTAGTAAACTTATTGCTGAAGACATAAAATGATTTATTGAACATATTGCTTAAGATATACAATAATTTATTGAACATTTTGCTAAAAACGTACTTTAATATAATGAATGATTTTCTTTTTTGTTAGAAAACCTTTGCCAGATACTGGAATATAAATAAAGCATCTGTTAATCTTTACCCTTCTACATTAAGTAAGGTAAGAAATTAAGGAATTCATCACATTTGACCCCTAATTCCATGCATGCCTGTTTGATTCTATATAGTAGCATAATAGCATTCATAGCAGTATATCAGCATTTTCTAACACAGCTCTCATATTTAAGTCTAAATTTATGATAATTTAGCCGTTATTAACAAGTCAAGAAATGGGATTTTTTGTACATTATGGTTGGATTCAAAACATATACAGGTGCAGTCCACTTTATGTTAAGGTAATTTTAAGAGTAGGAATAGAATTAGTTTAATGTGTTTAGTTTCAATTTCAATTTTTTCTACCCAAAAATAAAGTAGATTTCTTATGTTTATGTTTTGAGTGGGACCTGGATGTGTTTGAATATGCTCGGTAATTGTATGTAGTTTAGAGTTAGATATGTTGACAGTACTTGGTTGGCTATCAAGTTCTGATCAGATCGAATGCGAGCCTCATAACACAAATTATGTTATTTATTAAAAATATGGCGACGTCATATTAATGAATAGTGACATCACTGAACACCTGATCAGCAGTGAAACTGCCCTTTCTAAGAAATGTTTGAAGGTAAACTTTATTTGAAGGTATCATTAAATAGCTGATGTTAATGTTGTAAAATTTGATAAGGTTTGAGTTTATGAGAATTGAGAAGGAGGTGCTAAAGACGTCAAGGTGGTGATACAACATTACCTATATTTATTTGCGTTATGATGTATGAATAAGGTCTTTTGCCCATTAATATAGAAATTTGAATAAGTGTGGAAAACTTTTTTATTTCAGTTTAATACAATGTTACAGATATCAGCTATATCACTATCTCTAGCAGCTCCAGTTTTTGATTTTATGCAACATCCAGCTTTACAAGGTCTATGGTAAGAACTTAGCAAACTTAAAAAACAGAGTGCATGACAGCTACATATAAACATTGTGACTAATATATGGCACAAGAATGTCTTTGATGGGTGATTTTTGCTGCAGACTTGAGTCTCGAAAAGAGTTTCACCGACTGACGGCTGCGGGCACACGAGGAGACAAGAAATCTCCACTTCATTGATAACCATGTGTGCATCATGCATTTGGAGGAAAATAAATCTGATTGGATGATGAAGCTCTGTCTTGCAGACAATTCAACAATCGATAACAAGTCCTGTTAGCAAAGTGCCAATCTTGTTGTCGAAGAGTGGGCACATTTTAGATTTTACACAAGATTCAAGTTGGTAACAAAAATCGGCAACAAAGACTGTTTATGTGTCTGCAACAATATTTAAGTCAATAATCAGAGATTTTAAATGAGAATAATATTTTTATTTCAGGTATTTAACAGCTTTAACAACATTTATTACTGGTGTACAATATGCTAAAAACCCTTGGAAATATGTAAAAAGATTGAACAAAAAATAAATTTATATTTGAAAATGACTTTATTCATATCATTGCAGTATTACATGATAGAGATAGAGAATTGGAAAAGAGTACGCTAAATGCTGCTATTCTGTTTAATTTTCTTCATTACACTGCATGGTCTGTATGCATTGGCCACAGAAGCTAGCTAGAAGCTATTGTTGTTTTGTTTCTCTTTACAGTAACAATGTTTCATGTTACAGTAAGAGATAAAATGAGATTTTATTTATGCTCCAGTTTGTGGTAATCAAACTGGTAATATTTTTCAGGATAGCAACATAAGCTTTCCCATTGTCAAAATCCAATTGTGGAGAATCTTAGACAAACACACAGCTCTTCTGTTTATGGTCCCTGATGAACTACTAGACCCTGTTACTGACAGGGGTCCATGTTGGAAAAGTATCAACTCGATGTATTAATCAATACTCACCAATCGAGCGGACCCTTAGTTGGCATGGAGAGTCTATACCTTGCTGCACAAACCTGGTGATGCTTCACACATCACAGTGTTTAACATTGTATAATTACAGTGTTTAATATCATAGTTACCAAGGAGCTGTTTGGTAGTTACAGTGTATAACATTAAAGTA